GACATTTATTTTTGGTTCTTCAGAGTATATATATGTATCATGACAATGGGAAGCTTTTTGTTAAAAAATAATAATAATAATAATAATAATACAAGCCAGGCATAGATGCTTATGGGCCTTGAGCCCATGAGAGCTGGCCTGGTCAGCACTTTTTGTTAGCTCTAACATACCTATCATTGCAAAATTCAACAAAATGTTATCGCACATTCATAGTCAACCACAATGGCTTTTGCAGTAATCTTGGTCATTAATTTTGACCAAATAGTGATTAATGAATTCTTTTTACTAGATATACTAGCCCATCTCCCAGCACACGCACAGATTGCTTGTAACTTAGCATCGACCATTCGACTTCTAAAACATTTGCATTTGAAGAAATTGACCTGCACGCCTTTGCATTTATTCTTTTGAAGAGCGAGTATCTTGGTCCATTATAAAATTTGGAGCATGCTAACCTTCACGCAAGAGGGGGTTAGAATTGTCTGGATACAAGTTTGTCTTCCAGTCTGTGTATTGCCAATGACTTGAGTTATGATTGTCCTTGCTTCACTTGAAGATTTAATCTGAAAACTTACACTTATGCTTGTTTCTATACATGGTCAATCAAAGTTGAACGAGTAGTATTTAATGGATGTTGCAGGATTATAGTCCCTATTCTTGTCAAAAAATTATTTCATCAACTCCTGGTGTTGGAGATCATCATGGTTGCCCCTATCGACACTTCAGGTCACTTTTATTACTGATTCCAGATTTCATATGGATAGTTTAGCTTTCATTAAAAAAATAGTATAGTGTAGCTTTGCCAACCAAGTTCATGAAATGGGCCTTGGTGCCCATCAGGTGGATTCGATCACTGATTCAACAAGTTTCTGGCTTTTAGGGTGAGAACTGAGAAATTCTATCTTGTTGAGCTAAAGTAGTTTATCTATTAATGTTATATGATGCTTTTCACTGAACCATAATATTTATTTCTCTTGCTTGACGAGCACCTTTGGTTTTCCTATGCATTTTAGCATGTAAACTTACCTGGCATTTCTTGTATAATTAATCCATGACTGCAATGAAAGAAAAAAGTTCTTCTCGAGTTATATAAATCGTGCATTATCAGGGCATCATAATATTAATTTCATGTGTTGCAAGATTTATTTTCACGGCTAATACTAATAAGTCGATGGTTCTAGATAAATTGAAAGTTCGAATTTTTCAGTGTTTTTCTGTGGAGTAAGCTACAAGCCAATTCCCAAGTGATGAGAAGATTAATTAATTAATTGAATTGCTGTTTGCTTCATCCGATGTTAGCGGTGTGATGCTGAAGCCTAGTATAAAGCTTGGCTCTACCCGACTTGCCCGTGCTCTCTTTTAAACCCGGCTTAGCTGTCAACCGTTCCGTGAGATTAATTTATTGCGAGAGACCCAACATTCGTTTATTCAATAAATTCAGTAAATGAGACAACATCTAATGTTATGTTTAATATCGAACTGTAAATTGTTTATTTTGTTCAATCCCTTTCTTGTTTATCTTTTAAAAACGTGTGATCTTTTTGGGACCTGTGTATGACTTGATATTTAATTGATGCCATTTGTATTTGTTAGTGAGGAGAATCTTAGAGCTGCTATTAACAGAATGGGGGTGAATGGTCGAACACTTGAAGACGTAATGGACAAAGTACGAAATAGACATTATCAGGTAAACCTCAACAGCATCGGCTGCTTATAATTTCAATTCTCTTGCTATCCTTGGAACTTGATGTCCGACCATATGGGATGTCGTTCGTGTAGCTGGCTTGCACCCTGACATTTGAAGCTATCCATGGTAAGCAATGTGATGCGGGGATTAACCATCCAAATCAATACTTCAGCGACAGCCAAAAGATATTGAAGCCTAAGGTAACACCTATACTGCAAATTATGACTGAAACTAATGTTGGTGAATAACTCCTGTAATCATAAATTATAATTACAAAATACAAATTGTGGCAATATTATGTCCATCGAGTTATGGTGCACAGGTTCAACTATATATTATGTATACTGTGGGAATCAATTGCTGTTATAGGAATAGGGGTTTAAACTTTAGAGATAGAGTAATATATGAATATACCTGCCACTGGTATGTTATGGTTCCAAAGGGAAAAGGAGAACCACTCTAGTAAGCTTTTAATAATGGGGCCAAAAAAAAAAAAACTTCATTGTCACTTCGCTCATTTTTCATTGTGAAAAAAGCTTGAAAAACTTGGAGGCTGAAAGCAAGGAATAAATCTCTCAATAAAATACGATAAAATTTGGGAATTCGGAAATAGTTCTTGCTAAGCAATTAGGTTTATGGGTGTAAGTGCAACTGAGCTCCAGTATGAATGTGCGTTTGCCTGACTTGAAAACAGTTTTATGGGAAATTTGGGAAAATTTGCTTGCTGAGTATTGGGCATGAGAAATCGTTAACCTGAAAGCATGCTAGTGTAAGCATGAGTTCGCCCAAGTTTGAAACCGTGTCATTGTAAGAATCCCTTCATTGTGAATCCTGAGGACGGTGAATTACTCGGCAGAATAGCCGAGAAAACCAGATAGGTTTCTAAAGTAGAAACGTATTTGAAGTTGAGAGGAAAACTCAAAAATATCATTTATGTATCTATTAAAAATTTTAATATATCACAATATTCATAATTTATAGGCTTAACTTTCAACTTCTATGCAATGACTTGTACGAATTATATTAAAACATGGATTCCCCTGAAAATCTTGGGTAGATTAAGAGAGTACATGTGACGAATGGCATCTCATTAATGCCTTCCCTTTCTTTGAAATGTGCAGCCGCAAGATCCTTCTGCTACATCCTGATTTTCAAGATCTACGGCTTCCCTGACTTGAGGCGCTGATGATGATTTTGGATCCCTCCCTCCAAGGGACAGTTAGCGATGAGCCTTGAAATTACTCAGAAGCTGGTTGAACTACACAGAAGCATCTTCATTGAAATGTATATTTATTTGCTAATCTTGTGGAGGAATGTTTGCTTTTATGTATTAAACTAGTTAGTTATTTGAAGCTGCCCTTTATTTATTTAAAAGAAAAAAAAAGGGTACCATTTCCCTCTTCAATGGCGGAGAGAAGTTGTAGCTGCAGAAGGGCACAGGTTCTAACGGATGGATTAAGGAAGCGGGAGTATTTGAAGTGCATAAATGTGTACTTTACAGCGGGAGATTGGCAAGGTATTTTGGTCGAAGCACGATTCGCAAAGAACATCTTTTAGTGAATAACGAATATTAATTCTTTGAAACTAAAAATTATGTTACACTCAGTATGATATTTTGATTCTAAGTCTTGATTATATAATTTTATTTTCAAAAAGAAACGGTAGTTCTGTTGATAAGCTTGCTTCATCTACAAAAATAAAATGGCAAGATGTGGCTGAATCCCAATGTTGCAACTCAAAGAAACCGGAAGAATATCTCCCGTTAATAATGAGTTCGATTTTCATCACAAATAGAAAAATAAAATCTAGAAATATGCGTTGTCGCGGGATCAGTGGGTGAAGTAGATAAAGCCAAGTAGCCTGAAGGATGCTAATCTGTTCGGCTTCGTGAAACCTAGTTTGAAATATTTGAAGCGGACAGTCCGTGCTTGCTGCGCTTCTAATGGGACCCAACGCAATCAGCCTTCACTTTCCAATTTTTGTTTTCCATTTGGATGATTTCATCTTCTTATGTGAAACATTTTGACAGCATTCCCCATTTCCAACAAATAATATTATCGAGAGATAGCATCCTTGTTGGTCCATGAGTCAAAAGAATAATTCCCACCAAGCTCTGCGTTATTTCTCTTACCCCCCCCCCCCAAAAAAAATTGGCACGTGTAATTTATAAGGAATCTAAATTAAAAAATAAATATTGCCAAAATTGAGAAATGTTAATTTTAAAAAGAAATGGATGCAGAAGATAAACAACTATTTACATGTCCTGGCCAAAAAAAAACTATTTATATGTAAATATATAAAATTTGTAACAAAACACGCCGTCGATGAATCAGGAAGCTCACAACTTAGTTGGTGTAGTCTCGTTACACTCATCACTCAAGCAGATTTCACTCATATTTTATTCCGGAATTAAAATTTGATTCTTAAAAGAAAAAATATCGGGTACTAACTACCACTCAGATTATAAAAAGAGAAAATCACTTTTGAGATACCTATGCTTTTTCTCAATTTTTAATTTAGTGTTTGTGTTTTTTTTTTATTTGGAGAAATTACAAACAAAGACCCTTAAATATGTAAAATTGTGATTTGGAATTCTGAATTTGAAAAATAGCAAATAAGGACCTAATTTCACTTTTGCAAATATAAAATGTAGGTGAAATATCTGAAATGTCCCTCAACCAAATTGTAATTTGGTCTGCTGAAATTGTCATTCGTTAAAATAAACTTGTTATTTCTCATAATCAACTCGTCATTTGGCATACCCTTCAAGTTGTGATTTGGTCTACTAAAGTTATCATTCGCTTAAGTGAACTTATCATTTCTTATGGTCAACTTGTCTGACTGAGGGGTATTTCAGACATTTCACCCACATTTCATATTTACAAAAGTAAGACCGGGTCCTCATTTGTTATTTTCCAAATTCAGAGTCCCAAATCACAATTTACATATTAGGGTTTTTATTTGTAATTTTTCCTTTTTATTTTTTGCCAACTTATGTGCTTTTTCCTTAATAAAATCTTTAATTTACTTTATTAGCATCCGTACAAAAACTAGCAGTGCTACAGAGCAAAGTTTTTTTTCCCAACACAAAGCAAAGTTATATGAAGTAATGGTGCTAGGAGGAAAAAAAAATAAAAATTTTAATTAAAAGAGAAAAACACATCAAATTAGAAATTTAGAGAAGGAATAAGTACCTACAAAACAGTTTTTTCCAGACAAAAAAGCATGAAAAATTAAAATATCAAATGCGTCATGTGCTTCGTGTTAAGGAAAAAATTAACAAAATGTTTGAGGAATTTGTATTTTAAAAGACAGGTTATGCTTTGGGAGTGGGAAAAGAAGATACTGAAAGGTTCCCACCAATTGGAGTTAAGAACCAAAATTTTGGCAAGCTTGCGGAGGCCAGTTCCTCCTCCACCATAAAAATTCACAAGAAAGGCACAAAACAAAAGCATGAGCTAGCCTTCTGATTCTTCCTCAATCGACGTCGTTGATGCCGTCCCTGTGTGGTCAGCATCATCACCACCTCCATGCCTCCCAAACTTCCTCATCCCCACCAATTCAAGAAAAAACTCGCTCATGACGGCGCTCGCCGCCGCACTCACCCCTTAATCTGGCTCTTAGCCATCATCTGCACCATCATCGCCGTCGCCGTCGTTATTGCCGGCATCGTCGTCTTCATCGGCTACCTCGTGATCCACCCTAGGGTTCCGGTGATCAGCGTCACCAACGGTAATCTAGACCTCCTCCGAAACGACTATGCAGGTCTTATGCAGACACAGATTACCATCGTGGTGAGAGCTCAGAACGGGAATGCGAAGGCTCACGCGACGTTCTCCGATATCCGGTTCAACCTGACGTTCCAGGGTCAGGGCATCGCGATGCTCGTGGCGGACTCGTTTGAGGTTCCGAAGAACAGTTCGAGGGATCTGAATTATGTGGTTCAGTCTTCGTCGATTCCGTTAACTCCTGATCAGATGGAGCTAATAAACCAGGCATGGAAGCAGAATCAGATCGCTTTTGATCTCAAAGGAGATGCCAGAACTCAGTGGAGGGTTGGCCCTTTGGGTTCTGTTAAATTCGCTTGCCATTTGAATTGCAAACTCAGGTTTCATCCCATGAATGGCACTTACATTCCCTCGCGCTGCACTTCCAAGTCAAAATGACCTCTTTTACATATATATAACCATACTTCTTCTTCTTCCCATAGTCACACAAAACCTTCTTCTTCTGCTTCTTTCGTCAAAGTGGAGATGTTTATTAGGTAATAATGTTAATGGATACCTTTAGATTCCATGCTTTTGTTTTTTAAGGTCGTTGTTAGATATGATCTTCAGTTCTATGTCCTCCACAGAAGGATAATTACTTAATAGTTAAGACCCTTGATATGGCAGGTAAATGCGTAATGTTTTTTTTAATTTTATTTTAACTATTATGATTATTAATAATCTTAATTTGAAGTGCCAATAATAATAATAATTGCTTTTTCATGTCATGACTACAAGACTACAATTAATTATAGTTATTATTTTCACCGGTGCTGCATTTTTAGGTCATCAGTGATGACATGTTGCATGCAGCTAGTGGGACATTTAAAATAGAAAAAACATTCAAACAAGGAAGGCGGAAAGCTAAAAAGAAAAGGGAAAGTTATGATAAAATTTGCAGAAAGCACCGTTCTTTTTAATTAGCCTTCGCTCAGACGCGCCAAAAAAAAGACAAAACTCACGCACCCGTCATACTACCTTCTGTCCTTAATATATCAGACCTTGTTTAACTTTTAGTTTGATCCTAATTATAAGACCTCAATCTATCTTGTCTCTCATATTTAGACATTTTTTTTTCAAGATAGTCCTTCTAATAATGATAATTCTAGCTAATACATTTAATTAGTAAGGATATTTTAGGAATAACAACACTTATTTATTACAAATAACTAACTTAACTTACTTTCTTAATCTCCTCAAATTAGTCAACCGGGTCTTATAATTAGGACCGGAGATAGTATTAATTTGTGTAGGACGTAAAGAAATGTTTAGGGGTGTTTGGAAACACCCAAAAATATTTCTCAAAAATACTTTTCTGTAAAACGAAGCAAACTTCTCCATATATTTATCTCGTATACTGTAAAAATACTTTTAAAATTATAGTTTAGTTTCCATCCAAATACCTTTTTAATTATAAGTTGGGTCTCTGGAAGTGATCAGTCCACCTCCACCAAATATTTTATAAGTTGAAAATGGGAGAAAGTACCCAAAAAAGATAGTGTTAGTTTATTTTGTGTTAATTGGATTTTTTTTTTTTTTGAGTGAAGTGTTAATTGGATTTAAGTATATGTTGTGTCAGTCTCTTTAGGAAGACAATAAATCAGGAAAAGCGGGAAGAAAGCGAAGTGATCATTAAAGCAAGAAGACACTAGAAAAAGCAAATCATACCTAAACCATAATAATTAAAATAAATAAATAAATAAATATTAAAGTTGTTCATAGATTGCAACTTTTCTTCTTTACGCGCCTTGCCCGATTGGCGCTCAAGCCGGGGAAGGATCTGGAAAATTTGCATTTGAAATGAGTATTGAAATTTCTAGATGGAGAAAACATAACGTCAAAAAATGTATAAAATGTAAAACAACGTGCATAATTACTTTTGAGGACTCTTTCTTACAACAGTGGGAAAGTCCTCGTGATTTGTCCGCATAATTTCGATTTTTTTGGCTTTTTAAGAAATTAGAATGAATGAAGAATTATGATCCAAATTCATTTGTTACAAACACACAAGTGAAAAAATCTGCACTTTCTGAAAAAACTCGCCTCACTCTGAGGAATTGCTTCTTTTAATTCTGTTATTTGATGAGGTAAATTAGAACAAGGCTCTTTAATGGTAATTCATCCATGTCTTTTTGTTTTTGCCAAGGGATATATATAAGAAATATTTTTCACTTTGTAATTTTTTTATTTCTTTTTATTAAATACATGTATCATTCTTTAAAAAAAATTTATTTGAAGTACTGTTAATTACTAAATATTTCAGTGAGAATTCATACCTTCGTTTGAGGTAAACAGCTTCTAAATGAAATTTCACCAAATCCCATTATTTTATGTTCTCTCGGCGGCCCACAAATCATCAAACTAAGAGGGAAACCTACTAGCCAGGCCTCCATAGACTTGAGCCCAAATATAATGTGTGATCAAACAGGACTGAATCTTCAAAGCAAATGAAGAAGCAACCATAAACGGTGCCGTTTGGTTGCTTTGCACATGGAATTAGATTTTTGAGGTAACAGTTTCTCATTTCACAAATGTTTGGCCACTGAAAAAGGTTTCCACGGTTTTATTATTGATTCTTTCACATTAAGGACGCAGAAAAAAAAACGTTAATTTAAGGAAAAAATTCATATTTAAGATACTTTATTCTAGCCGTGTCTTTTTTTTTTCCTACCAATTATTCCAACCATATCATAATTAGTAGTAATTTTTTCTAGATTATTTATCGCACACCCCTCTAATTAAGTTAACAGAGGAATTTGATTTGGTTTTAAATGTGAAATCCCAATCTACTTGCCTCACAGGTTTATAATCTGTTCTTCAAACTATTCCCGTTAATTGTACTTTTTTATAAAATTATGATGAGTAGTTTTCAGCAAAATAATTAATTAAATAGATATTTCAGAAAATTAATGAAAAAATTTATAGATAACTAGTTTAATTAGTTTTCTTAGTGTCTGTAAATTAGTTATTTAACTTCTAATTATTTATTATATGACTAGCTTTTATTATTAACACTGTTAATTTACTGCTCCAACGTATGATTAAAATCGTGTTGAGGGTGTGGCCAGGTTTGGTTTCTTTAATTACGAGGACATTCTAAATCTTTCGGTTTTACATTTTTTGGACAGCGACCTTCGTAGCGGCACTTTATAATTAATTATAGAACAGAATATACCAACAATAATCAAATCGGACGAACTAAATAAAACAAAATTAATAGACACCAAAGATATTTCCCACATTAATTGTTAAATTGCACACATACGATGCACAACACACGCTTGAATTAATTCAGCGAAATCTCTCGTGAATTTTGAATTACGGTACATTATTGGACTGTCTTTTCGTACTCTACAGCATTCAGTAATCAGTAGGATTGGATCTAACCCAAAAAAAAAAAAAACAGTTGACCAATCAATATTTGAATCTCAACTATAAAAAATTACTTCCATTAAATGTCTAATAATATTTCAAATAAGATTGTTTTCAATAGAATTATACTTATTCTACCAAAAAAAATTGTGACTATGGTGTCTAGAACTAATAAAAATTAGGATTACATATATACTCCTCCGGTCCTTAATATAGGACCCAATTGTTGAGTTGGTTTTGGTCCTAAATATAAGACCCATTTATCATATTTATCAGTTTTCTCTAAATTACCTCTATGGATACTTCCTCAACCATAATCAAGTAGAAGAGGGGGATGGGGTATTAAGAAAAATGATTATGGTATTTTAGGAAAAATGTGTCACTTTTTTTATAATTAACTAACTTACCTAACTTCCTTAATCTAATCAAATTAGTTAAATGGGTCTTATATTAAGGACCGGAGGAGTAGTATCTTTTCAATTTTGTCAACAAAAGAGGCTGTGGCATCATTCTAGATTAATAAGAGTTAATTTAATGAGCACCGAAAGTAATACTCCGGTTGGGTAAATTGTACAAATAGAACGTATAACTATAAAATTAATTAATTCGGATTTTCTGATCTCAGTATTTTCAAATTTTTTTATGTAGGGCTTTTTTTTTATAAATAAATACTATATAATGTCAAGTTTTTATGGTTTAATTTTTTGTTTTCAAAATAATATTATTTTAAATTATAAAAGATATTTTAGTCTTTTGATAACATTTAAAATCCCTAATAAGGCATCTTAGCCTAATTAAGAATTTGTTAAAAATGTAGGCCTTAATTTGAATTTTAATATTTTAAGAGGATTTAATTAGGATTTTCCCAATGATGTACTCGTATATAGTTGGCAAAAAAAATGACATATATATTTATAGCGAAAGAAAACTAAAGTATTTTACCACAGAAAAGGAAAAAGAAAAGATAAATTATTACGTTTAAATTTCACTAACGATGAACAACAACAAGAGAGATGGTCAATTATATTGAATATATAAATAAGTTATTTTATCCTCTGTCCTTTCCAATTTCTACCCATTTAATATTGTTGACCCAAAAAATTATTTTATTCATTCTCTTACCTAAAAAATCAAATTCGATAGGATCACGATTGCATGTTGTTTCACTCTCTCCGCGTTTCCTATTATTGTCCATTCGAAAATTCTCTCACTTTTGTTTGAGAAAATATATGCAAAAATGTAAATAAAATTTAAATTTTCAATCAAATTATGGTATATCTGCATTTTTCATTCATGCTTTGTTTTTAATTAACTCTTGTCATTGATGATTTTAATTTTTTAATTTAGAATTCATTTACCGTAATTTTTTTAAAATAAAACATTAAGTATGTGAGATCAAACATATAAATTTCCCCAGAACACATAATAAAAATCTTATCAATACATAAGAGCATGAAATAAATGAGAATTGATTGGCCTCCTTATATCAATGTGTGTGTGTGTGTGTGGGTGTGTATCGACTGTGTCCGTCAAATTAATAAGAACGGGCATGATGTTATGGCCAATCCTGACATGTAAACAAAAAATGCCCGGAAATTCTATAAATAATAACGTCATCATTAAAATAAAAAGCAACTTCAAATTTTTATACATTCTCCGAAATAATAAATGCGCTGGTCGTGGAAAATAAGGCTCTTGTATTATACTCCATATATTCCCTTTTATAAGAAATAGTTACTAAATTACGTTATTTGAAATATTAGTTAGAATTAACTGAAGAAAATAAATATGCAAAAATTTATACTACGGTCCTTAATATAAGATCTCGTTTGACTTTTATTTTGGTCCTAAATATAAGACCCCAATCTACTTTGTCTCTCATATTTATACATTTTTTTTTAAAATAGCCCTTCTAATAATAAAAGTTTTAGTCAATACACTTGATTAGCAAGGATATTTTAGGAAAAACAACATCTATTTAGGACAAATAACTAACTCAGCTTACTTCCTTAATCTCCTCAAATTAGTCAACTGGCTCTTATAATTAAGATCGAAGGTAGTAATATTTTCCCAAAAATAATCGCACTCACGCGAAAGAGAGAATGTACAGGGGGGAGAAAGAATGTCTACAAATTAACTGCAATAATACAAGTAACATAAGTAGTCAAACAAAAATAAAATGAAAAACCAACAAGTAAAATTTGAAACAATATTTAAATATCTCCTACAAAAAAGCACGTCACATATTATAATTATCTCTTATAAAAAAAATGCGGAAAAGAATATACTATAGTGCTAGTGATGTAGGCACTAATAGGCAGTAATACTCTGTTTATTAGTCACTAGTACGTTCCAACCAATCCGATTATTTATTGATCGATCAACTATTGTCTGGCCAATAAATGAAGGTGGTGATCTCCTTTGTCGTCCCCAAAAAATAAATGTGATACTGATAACCCGTAATTAATAAAATTAGAATGCTGGACCCAAAAAAAAAAAAATAGAATGCAATTTTTTTCTTTGAAAAAGAGACTCGTGGAGACGACTTATTCAGTGTTGAAAAATAAGCCAAATGGGATGGTAATTTTAGGGGTGTTTATGAGGCCAAAAAACCCACAATACTCATCCAAACTTGGTAAAATAATGCTTAGCTCGGCTCTAAAAAAACAGTCCAAATAATAAGTGTGTATTTTGGGACACGGCCACATATGAGGTCGGCCTGGGCATCAGATAAGATATGTTGTCCTGCATATTTGGCCTTATCCAGAATCTATATATATAATTTTAGTATATATAATTATATTTAATATACATACACAACAAATGTAATATTCATACATCACAGAATTATATATTTCGAGATCCAAATTATTGACATATCTAATTATAAATGTTGTTCGAAAACATATCATGTTGTGTTTGATTATATAATAATTATAAGAAGATATAGAATGATAAATAGATATATAAATTTGTAGTGTGTTGTTTATATTTCTTCTCTTGAAATATTTTAAATTGTGAAATTATAAAATACATTTAAAAATCAAAATATTAATTATTAGGTTTGGTGAAAATCTTCACATGATATAAACAATGTATCAATATGCATCATTATTTAGAATGGGCAGGAAAGCCTAGCCCGCCTAATCTAAGTAACTTGAGCTTTCATACGACAGGATTAAACAACGGGTTCCAAAATATAGCCTGTTGATTGATTATTCAGGTTAAGTGTCTGGTAAAGGTCATGCCCATGACCATATGCAGTCATAGGTAATTTTATAGCATTGTATAGCAAAGGTATTATCCAAAAAAAAGAGAGAAGTAATGTTGGATTGGCAAACACAGCCATTAATGGGTGATAAACCTGCCAACTTGTCAAATTCAGGCTGGCCAACCCATCCATAGGCCGACCACCTTAGCACGAACTCGTGGGTTAATCCACTTTTTTTTTTTTTTTTTTCAATTTTAGTAATAATACTTATATAATTATATGCCATATGTCATATGATAAATTAAAAAAATACATATACTCCTCCGATCCTTAATATAAGACACAATTATTGAGTTAGTTTTATTCATAAATATTCAGTTTTCTCTAAATTACCTATATGGATACTCTCTTAACCATAATCAAGTAGAAGAAGAAGAAGAGGTATTAAGAAAGATGAGTATGATATTTTAGGAAAAACGTATCACATTTCTTATAATTAACTAACTTACATAACTTTTTTAATCTAATCAAATTAATTAAATAGGTTTTATATTGAAAACCGGAAGAGTATCATTTATCGATGTTTTCCATAAAATAAAGAAGTAGCCAATACTTTATTACATTTTTTCTATATCATATAAAACATATTTTAAGAAAAACCAGCAACCCGCTTAGGGTGTGTTTGGATAGAAACCAAACCATGATTTCAGAAGTGCTTTTACGGATTACGAAGTAAATATGTGGAGGAGATTATCTCGTTTTGCGGAAAAGTGCTTCTGAAACCACGGTTTGGGGATACCCAAACAGGCCCTAATTAGAGACAGGTTCAATCCGTACTGCCTGACTTGCAAAGCCGGGGCCTGGCTCTAGATATGAACTTTGGAGGGCATCAAGCCATTAAACAAAGGGGACAGTGTGTCTGTTGCCCATTTGAATTTTGATATGTAGTACGTAGTTACAGCTGCATGCCGACACACGTTTTAATTCAAAGACTTCGTCGAAGCCAATAAAATGGAGTTTGGAAGAAGGACAAAGCAGGCCATAAAGCCGTGTTACAGAGGGCTGAGGCCTCCATCAATTTCATGGCACTCTTCTTTAGGCATCTCCTTCGTTACCATTACCTTCCACTGTTTACTTACCTTTATCAAATGTCTTCATTATTACCCAACAATGCTCCATTGGCAGGAAAAGAGAGACAATGAATTGTGTACTTTTTTTTTTGTGTTGACCGGAACAATGAATTGTGTACTTTTTTTTTTTTGACCGGAAATGAATTGTGTACTTCTCACTTAACAAATATCGATGAGAAATATATATATGTTATAATGCTTCTTATTCCTGTCTATTATATATTGTCCAGGAAATAACAGTCAAACAAATAATAAATTAGAGGCAAAATTATATTGGTATAATAAATTTAATGAAATAGTTTATATTAAAGATAAAAATAAACTCTATCTATATCCTGTACATAAAACTGGAGGAGTACTCTCTAGTCACAAATGAATAAGTCAAATTGAATTCATGCAAGCGTATTAATAGAGAGGCAGTCAATGTTATTTCCCCCCCCCCCTAATCTTACACCTATTAAATATAATAAAAAAATGGGTGAGAAAAATAAGAACAAATGTACAACATATCTTCTCTAATGAGACGACTGTAAAATTTTTTTATCAATTTAATTCTACTTCTGGTTCTAATTATAAGATCTCATTTATAATTTATAAATGATGTCTTATAATTAGAACCGGAGATAGATTATTTTTTTGGTACGTGAGGATATAAGTAACTTATAAACAAAGTAGTATATTTCTTATAAAAAGGATCAAAGAGAAGGCATCTTATTATATAATATGGACACGAGGGAGTGTATGTGACTTAAAAATTAAAGTTAGAGGGATATGCTGGATATGTTGTGGATGCGTCACTTATTATGTTCAGTATTTGGCTGGGCCACTGGGCAACAAATGGACAAGGACAACAATGCACAGTGTTAATTTGCTACCCAGTGGAAATAAATATACTATATATATATATATATATATCGAAGAATTATTATATTGATGCATAATATATAATCAGTCACCTCAAAATTAATGGAGGCAGTGGCAGATGGATTGAGTTAATGCATAGCGTTATGCGTTGCATTTAATTCAATATTCCACCAAGCTGCTTCCTTCTCCTCTTGCTATGACTCGTCATCATTTCCTATTTGAGTTTTTCTTCATTATCAACTTGCTCTCTCTGATTCTCCTCCTCCTCCTCCTCCTCCTTCATGCTTCCACGTGTTCATTACCCTTTTCTTTCCCCTCTCTGTGAACAACGAAATCATTTCCTTTCACTTTCCCTTTGTGGCCACGTCACTGTTTCTAATTACTACAGCTTCTCCACTCACATATATATATAAAGCCCGCAAGGTGTTGCAGTGTGATGTGAAGTGGATAAATAGGTACGTAATTGCAGAGAAAAGCATGGAGAGTAAGAGAGGAAGCTTTAGAGAAGAAAGTTTGAGGATGGAGGTGGAAGCCATTGATGGGAGTATAGAAGAAACAGTGATAGAGCTCGGGAGTATTGATACACACACTCTTCTTGATGATGCTCACGCGCACTTCAAACACCAAACCCTACCCACCAATTCTCTCTCCCGTCGCCAAATGGCATCCCTCACCGCCCTCTGCGATACTTTATTGCCTTCCGCCGCCGCCTTTGGTGACGACTCTGCTGCCACTTTATATCGGACTTCGGCTTCCATGGCCGGAACACCTGAGCGCGTAGGGTTTCACCACTCTTTCTTTGCCCTGATATTTTAACGCATTTATATTTACTTCAGATGGGTTTTAAGTCAAAATATGTTTATGCATGTAGTTGTAATGTGTCGTGTGGGGTCTATAAAACCAAATGTTATACTACTATTATGCCTTGAGTTTCTACCAGCTACGAATAAATTTTAATACGTATTTCTACTTCTGCATTTTAATCTTTTTTAACATTTTTAGTCAGCATGCGCCTTTTTTTTTTTTAACGGATTGAGGATGTTTACAGTCTATTTGTAGGGTCATTAATGGCTAAGATTGTACCGTACTGTAATCTAGAAAGTCTGCAACTTCTCACAGTGTACTTTATAGGGTTGATTAATTTTAGCATGGGGACCTATAACTCTTATTTAACAAATATATCTATCCTCCGAGATGAAGTAGGAACTTTAATTTGGCACAGTTTCTTTAGAGTTAATGAATAAAATCGCAACTCAGCCCAGCTTTATGCCATTATATTTTTTTTGGGAAGAAGAGCAAATTCTATGATGTTTCCTCTCTAAAGCATTACTTTTTCCTATTAAACTAAAAAGTGAAAACAAAGACATGCAAGAAAAAAATATTCACATACACATCACACACGCACACGCACACGCACAGGGATTATGTCAATATATATATTGTGAAATTAATAAAAAAATTAATTATTATTTTCTTTAATTGTTGGATTAATGGTGCTGTGCGGAATGTGTGTGGGTGCGTTCAGCTAGGGGGAGTGATAAGCAGGAAGCTGCACCATCCAAACACGTGGATGCTGAAGGCCACGCTGTGGCTGCTATCAACGTGGTTTGGGACTCTGATCCTGTGCGGCACAGGGAGCATGTCGTGGGTGTTCCCGTTCTTCCACAGCTTTCCAGATCTGCCTCTGGAGCAACGCCAGCGCATCGTGCAGAACTGGGCTCTCAGTTACTTCCGGCTCCTCCGCATGTTCTTCCGTACCCTCAAGCTTCTCGCTCTCCTCGTCTTCTTCACTCAGGTCTCCTCACCTCTTCTTTTTTTAATCCACAAACACACCATTTTTTTTTTCAGGGATCAAATTTTAAGACACACAAATATTCAACATATAAACTCGTACACACATGAACACAAGTTTAAATTTGTGACCTCTCTCGAAAGAAGATTGATGCCACTAGACTCAGATGAAAGATTATTATTAACGTTGGCCAAAAAAAAAAGAAGATAATTGTTGATATATATATATATATATTCACAGTTAATTTACAACGAAGAGAGTATGAGAAAAACCACTCCTATTTTTTTTAAAAAAATATATTCATGCATGGCCAAAAAAGAAATTAATTAGAATCCTCCATGGGCCATATGTGTATTATTTATAAACAATGGACAAAATGCAATACTAATCTCTCTTGAAATCAAGAAAAATTGACAAGACAATAACAAGCCAAGTAAAAGGTTTTGGTATCGTGAAAAGCTTGGTCTTTGTCAAATCAGGGGCCTACCCTAACTTTTTATTAGAAGGTATGCATGGGCGTCCCTCTTTTCTTTTTTTTTTGGTAGGTGGCGATGAATACATCGGATGAACAAAAAATTAACTAAAATATATACTCTTCTGGTTTTAAATGTAAAACTTTATATTATAAAATAAGTTTTATATTTAAGACCAAAAGAGTATATATTACGTAGGAAAAAAAAATTCTAAGAAGTGAATTAAATATAGATGAAGACATCTAAACGTGATATAGTAGTATACTCGCAATTATTATGGAGTATATATCAATTTAGGCGGCATTTATTGGAACGGAGAAAATGGGGAACATTTTGCCTGACAAGTTGTGAAAATTGAATAAAGTTTTCAAAGCTTAAAAAAGTGGCGTGTACATGAATATATATATATATATATATAAATATATAATATGGAAGGTTATGCGTCATATAAGAGAAGAAGTAATGTGATCGAGGACTTGCCAAATCGACTATGATAGATACTCTTCACCTAATACCTTGCTGAAGCCCTACTACACATATGCAATTAATATTAACTTCAGAATTCCTGCAGTTGGCTGCGTTGGGTGGGCCAGGGCTGATTACTTATGATCGTATAATACTATAATTACCATGCAATTTTTTGTGTCAAACTATTATTTCTTTCTTTCTTTCTTGATCTTCTTCTTTTTTTTTTAAAGTTCTTACAGGGTGTGGACTTTGGTCTGTATTTCTTTATAAAATGTTAAATTCAAAGCGTAGAGGGAAGAAGGAATGAAGATCTAAACAGCAAAGCTATGTATAAGATCTAAAACAAACAACACAGACCTATTACAACAAGGATATCCACAACACATTGACTTTTTAATTAATTGGATTTCACGTGTTTAGTGTCTCCATGTCATACAGAATTACAGATAACCAAATCAATTAATTAGTGTAACATGCTATATATCGAATAATGTGGTCAGTGTTTTTCTGCTAGCTTGGAACCTTGTAACGATACGGGTCTTTCTCCCATTTGCAGTTAGATGAAGCACAAGACAACCCATCATGGAAAGCAATAGGATACGAAGGACCTGATCCAGAGTTCAGAGCCCAATTGAAGAAGGATTTTCTCCGGGCAGCATCAAAAGAAGGAGGCAAAGAACATAAAGACGAAGAGGACGATGACGATGATACTACTGAAAACATCATTGGACCTCTTTACAATGGTCTTGTCCACCTAGATTACCCTCGACACATCACTGCAGATGCTCTTCGACGATTCGGATTCCCGGTCTCTGTCACTCGTTGGAAATCTAAACCTGCCAGTAGTCTATCATCTCCTTCTTCAGTTATCCAATGTGATGCGGTGGTGGTTGGATCCGGATCAGGCGGTGGTGTGGTCGCCGGAGTTCTGGCAAAAGCTGGTTACAAAGTTATAGTCTTAGAGAAGGGAAGCTATACTGCTAGGAACAATCTTTCTCTTCTAGAAGGACCAACCATGGATCAAATGTACCTCTCTAATGGCTTGATTGGCACTGATGATATGAGTGTATTAGTACTTGCAGGTTCCACTGTTGGTGGAGGCTCTGCAATAAACTGGTCAGCCTGCCTTGAAACTCCAAAACATGTTTGCAAGGAATGGTGTGATCAACATGAGTTAGAGTTATTCAAGAGCAAGCTGTACAAAGAAGCCACGAAAGCTGTCTGTGAGAAAATGGGAGTTCAATCTGAGATCAAAGAAGAAGGATTTAACAATGCGATATTAAGAAGAGGGTGTGAAGAAATGGGCTATCCTGTGAGTAATATTCCTCGAAATTCCCAACCAGATCATTACTGTGGCTGGTGTTGTATGGGCTGTAAGGATGGGAAGAAGAAGGGCACATCAGAAACATGGCTTGTGGACTTGGTGAAATCCGGCAATGGAGTGATTCTTCCAGGTTGTGAAGCAGTAAAAGTCTTACACAAGAAAAAGAAAGGCACAGACAGGAAAGTTTCACACGGGGTGGCTTTTGAATATGAATATAAAGGATCTAAAGATTTCTGTGTTGTGGAATCTAAGGTCACTATTGTAGCTTGTGGAGCTCTCTGTACTCCGTCATTGCTCAGAAAAAGTGGCTTAAAGAATCCAAATATAGGGAAGAACTTGCATCTTCATCCAGTAGCAATGGCTTGGGGACATTTTCCAGATTCATCGCCTTCATCAAACGTTTGGCCTGAAGAACAGAAGAAGAGCTATGAAGGAGGGATTATGACAGCAATGTCAACAGTAAATGCAGACTTTGAGAAATCTGGATATGGTGTGGTGATTCAAACACCATCACTACATCCTGGTATGTTCTCGATCCTAATGCCATGGGTTTCTGGAACTGATATCAAAGATCGAATGCGAAAGTTCTCAAGAACAGCTCACATATTTGCACTAGCAAGAGATCAAGGATCTGGGGTTGTTCACTCACCAACCTCTATCAGCTATCAAATGAAGCAAAGGGATGAAAAGAATCTGCAGAGAGGAATAGAGAAAGTACTGAGAATCCTGGCAGCAGCCGGGGCTGAAGAAATCGGAACCCATCACAGTAAAGGAAGGACGTTGAAGGTGAAGGAGGTGAGCTACCATGAATTTGAGAGATTTGTGAAGGAAGAAAGTTCAAGGTCATTGAGAGACCTGTCGACGCCATTATGTTCTGCGCATCAGATGGGAAGTTGCAGGATGGGGACAAGTCCGAAGGAGTCGGTGGTGAACGAGAATGGAGAAACATGGGAAGTGGAAGGGCTTTACGTGGCGGACGCGAGTGTGTTTCCGACGGCTTTGGGTGTGAATCCGATGGTCACTATTCAGGCGATTTCTTACTGTACAGCACAATCTGTACTTGAAGTTCTTCGAAGAAAAAGATGTAAATGAAAACAGGAAGAAGAAGAGGCAATAATTTGTGATATTTCTGTAACTTATTTATGGTGTTTCGGATCAGATAATATGGCTTTGTAAGATTGCCACGTACAAATTATAGAATAAATGTGCATGCTTTGCCGTGGGTGAAATTGACACGTTGAATTCACTAACAATCACGATGCATGCAGTGGTTAATAGATTTTGGGACCATGGCATTTAAAGTGCAATCAAAATTCATAACTTTTTTCCATGCATACGTTGTCTCTTTTATTTGCTAATGACTAGGAAAGTATAAAATAAGATGGGGAAGGGGGAAATACATAATTGCTGTTACCTGTAACCCTGTTACGTACCACTTTTCCTTATTATTTGTCTTGTGGAAAAAGAGATTTTGATCTTTTCTTTTTGTGTGTGTTATTTACACCTCTTTTTTTTAATGTTTCATTTTCAATTCTGCTCCTATTAATTATAGTGAAAGTGAAGAAAAAGGAAATGAGTGAGAGAAAATATATTAATATTTAATTTTCTTCTTAATAATGACAAAAATGAAAGATTTCATCTATTTAATACTTTCTTTACTATGTGAAAAACTCCTACAAATGACAAATAATAAGGAGCAGAGTGATAATTTCTTAGATATTTTTATGGAAAAAATAATGTATCTTTTTTTTCCTATTATGCATGTATATATATTTGAACTTGAATCAAAACAAGGTCTAAAAACTTGAATAAAAAAAAAAAAGAAACGGAAAAATCAGAAATAAAATAAAACTGCAGGATCAGCAATTTAGCGTGGTATGGATCATCGAAGGACTCGATCTTTCAAGAGTGAAACTCAAATATCAAAGTCATATCAATGGGAACCGGATAAAGCCACTTGCTTCTTCCCCCCAACTTGATATTCTTCTCAAAAATTTGGAAGACGAAAAACCATTTGCTCTCAGTTGAAGGGTCAATATCCACACCCAAATCCCCTTTTTAGAGAGAGAGAGAGAGAGAGAGAGAGAGAGCAAAACTCGAGTTTTCTTTTGTGCGATTCTCCAACCCATGAACATGAATGCGCCGGCCCACACATTAATTAAAAGAATGCTTTTAACACTCATTTATTTCTATGAATGAAATTCCAATAGAGTCTGCAAATTAAAACAATGGATCAAATAATAACGGTATAATTCAAACAAAATAAAGCAGGGAACCTAATTCAAAATTAATGTGAACTATAAATTAAGATCTGTAGATTAATTTTTCTTCTTATTTTTTTTAACCATATATGCTCAATATTATGTAATATTAAGTTCCAGAAAAAGTCCATCCTTGAATCCATCCTCCTCTTCTAACACCATTCGGTTTCCAGAATAAACCATATAGACTTGAATTCGAGATTCTGCTCAAAAGTAGTATAACTAACACTGAACCCTATTTAAATCAATTATCGTCATTGAAATGTATCTTGTTTTCTTGAATGAACAAATTGCAAGGTTTATTATTACTACTGAAGATAAGTGGAGCTAGTGGGCAAACTCTACTTAATTAAGCGTGAAATTTATATATAAAAAATCGCTTGGGGTCTAGAGATCTTATCTCCGCCATCATTAATCTCATGACTATCCACTCATGAAAAAACGTTTCCAACTTTAAAAAATATGGAAAAATTACAATCAGGTTCCAAAAAGATATTTAATTACCCTGAAATTTATCGACAAGTGAAGAGTAAGTAATGATAAATTCTAGAGTAGGAAATGACAATATATTCAGGCTGATAACTTGTTATTGGGATTTTTCAGTAATTAAATTCCTTCTTTGAAAACCTCTTGATAATTCTCTCAAAAAAATAATACAATAATATAAAATGCGATCACCCTCAACCCAAACGAGAGGCCGAAAAAGCAGGTCCAAAATTGGACGTCTGTGCCTTCTGAGAAACATCATCGAAGGAGTACTAAGTTGACCAGCTCCAGTTGAAAAGTGATAGTATTTATAAAACCGTCTAATAACACCCTGGCTTAGAATTAATATAGCCATATATTAGTTGCTCTCTATCTATATCTATATATATGTGTCTGCTTGAAACCAATGAAATGGAAGATTCGATAAATTTTTAGGAGACAATATAATTAAGTCTGAGGCAAGAAGGAGATATCACAGGTCAAGGAAGAAGCTAAGATAATGACCGGCTCATCTTCATGGGACCAATTCAAGTTTCTAGTTCGCAGAAACAACAACCAGCCCACCACCAGCATGACGGAAAACGTTCCTGCTATATGCAAATTTCCTGTAATCTTATTTGCAGTCTCAGTCCTATTCTGTTTCGTTTCCTTTGTATTATGTATTGTGGCTGAGATCCTCAGGAATAAGGTGGGTTAAGTAGGTTGCTTTGTTTCTGATCAACTATCATTTCGTTCTCTTGATCTGTTATAAGCTCATATGTTGCAGGAAGATGAGATCAGATGGAACGGAAGGCTGTGTCATGCACCAGTAAGTCCTTCATATTGGTTGGGAATTGCAGCTTTGGGTTGCTTGGCTGCATCTCAGCTTCTGGCAAATTTCATATTCTTCAATCATTCTTCAAAATTAGGCAGAGCTGAGAATCCTGAGTTTAACGTACCTCTTGTTGCCAAGCTTCTGGTTTTGATCTCCTGGTTGGTATAATCTTTTTGCATATCTATTTCCTACTTTAATATATAGCCAAGTTGAGTGTTTCGTGTATTCATGTATTGTGCCAGGGTGGGCTGTTTGGTTGCAATAATAATATTAACAGTGGCGATAAGCATGAGTGGGGAGCAGAATTACGGAGAAGGATGGTTGGAAGGGGACTGTTACGTCGTCAAACCTGGCTGTTTTGCTGGCTCTTCCATTTTGCTGCTTCTTTCCCTGGCTTCCATATCTGCTTCTTCTTTCTCCACCATTCAAATACATCCTAATTAATTCATTTACTTCTTTATATATATATATATATATATATATATTATTTTAAACATGTCTGTGTGTGTGTGTTGTGTATGGTGGACATAGCGGGGATATACCATAGCATTGTTTGTTTTTTTTTTCTTTTGTTCATTGGGATTGCTCGTGCGATGCAAGAAGACTTTTGGGTAATTGATAACTTACTGGCCAATATATATTGTAAAACTTCGTTTATAATCAACCTCTCTTTCTCTCTCTCACACACAAACGAATAATCAATTATTGCAGCGGTGCAGCCCCGCATGCATAACGCATTTATAGTATATATATATTTTAATTAATTTACCTTTTTTTAATCATTATCTTTTTCGTTGCCATCATTTTTCTTATCATTGTTTACAAGAATAATACGGAAAGCATTTATATATTAATTCACAGAGAGAGAGAGAGAGAGAGAGAGATTAAAGACGGGAAACTATAGACTGTGGGGGAAAATTCACATATTCTCCTCATTATATTTATATTTTATTTTTTTTCTAACTCTCAAAAAAAAATTACGTACTCATATGCGCTGATTTTCATAAACACAGGAGAAGAATATTTTATTTCGCCATAAATAAGGCCAATAATGAAGAATGGTAAATTAAATATTTCGTTTCTGATGGCTAGTTGATTGACTTCATTCATCGATTGCTGTTGTTGACTTACTGGTAGTCGCTACCAAATGGGCCATGACATCAAACGTGGCAATTTTTTTACTATTATTACTTAAAGTAGTTAACTAATTTGAGAAGATTAAAAAAAATAAGTTAATTTAGTTATTTGTAATAAATAGATATTGTCTTTTTTAAAATATCCTTACTAATCAAGTGTATTGATTAAAACTACTATTATTAGAAAGATTATGTTGAGAAAAAATGCATAAATATTAGAAGTAAAGTGGATTGGGATATTATATTAAACAAAATTCAAATAACATCTTATATTAATAATCGGAGGTAGTATTATTTACATGTTCATAATAACTTTTTATCATTTACCAATTTATTTATTATTTTATTTCGCGTACAAAAATGTTGAGTTTATGATGGGCCTTACGGTTTCATCAATGAATTGGGCACCATTTACAACCGGCCCACAGTAACACGAATCACAAATAGCCCGACCCGGTAGGCCGAAAATTTTGCCTCTAAAATCCAAAATCAAAATAAAGCGAACTGCCTCTTTCGTCTTTCCATTTCGCGGCATTTGATCTGGTGAGGGGGGCGCGAACGACTACTCGACGCTCGTGCTACGTTATTCTGTTTGGGGTCTAAAATTGTTCTTTATGGTTTGTTTCTATACTTATTGTCGCTGATTTAAGAGTCTCTTCAGTTCCTGATTCTGAGTTCATGGAGAAGAATACTGAGCTCGCTGGCAGTGCATCATCTTCTGCTGGAATAGGATCCAGGTACTTTGATTTGAAAAAGTCCTTCAAGTTCGCTATGCGTTCTTTGCTCACTGCCTGCTCAAAGGAGGTATGTAATCCTGCTTCTTTTACTTCCCTTTTTTAATAAGCTCCTGCTTCGATTTCCCCCCTTTCTGTGAGAAATTGAAAGAGCTGTTTACAGCATTTCTTTTGTTGCATAAATCATCAAAAATCAAAATGGTTATATATTGATATTATGAATTCATGCTGTTGTCTGGATTCAAAGGAATTTGACAAAGCTTTTCTGAGATTCACAACCGCGGAAAAAGAATGGCTTCATCGCCTCTATCTTCAGGTATAATCTCTGGATATTAATATAGCTCACAGAAATATATCTCAAAATTCTGTAGGCATTTGACATTGGCTGCTGTGTTGTTTTCTCAATCTTCTATTTTGAATCTGGGCGGTTATTCTGGAGGATTTGAATTAGTGCCTTAGACATATAGTCAGATAAAAATGTATACTGACCGTCTCTGCATAAATCTTGCAAAGTTCAAGGGGTCACATTGTCAATGGAAAATAACCTATTCATATTTGTCACCCACTTAATATTAAATAAATAGATTAGGATAGAGTTTTCATCAGAAGGAAATTATGTTGGCAAACGTTTTTCACACATGTAAAAAGCCTCAGATGTGATTACCAGTAAAAAATTTTGTAACATGAAATATAAGATGCTGGTAGATATTCGTTTTCACTTAATATTTGGATTTTAAATTGTCAAGAAAACTATATTTTTTATTTCTCATGTATTATCTTAAAAAAACGACATGTCTAGAGATGCTAACGCCTTTCAACGGATCAAACTTTTCAGGTCATCACTTCATTGCATGAAAATATAGAGGTATGTAATGTTTGTTATAACTGTTAACAACGGTACTTTTGTCAATTATAGTAGATTATGTTCCTTCTCTTTTAAGATATGAGGACGCTAAGGGAAGAATTGGGTACAGTTTTGTGATTTCTATGCTTTTGCTTTCGTTTATGCCTCTCTCTTGACTTGATACTTTTCATCATCGAATTCCTGGATTTTTTTTTTTTTTAAATTTATAGTCATTGTAGTTAACTTTACTAGAAATGATATAATTTGAAATTCTTTTTGGCTCTAGGCATCCATTTATTGTAAATGATTCATAATTTAATACAGACTCTCCCCTCTTCAAATTCTCTATTTATTTATTCTGCAGGGCATCGGAGCATTAGGCTCTCTTTTATTTGTTTATTATTTTCTGGCCTTCATTCGCATTTCGTGGGTTTTTCCTTTGAGACATGACGGACAGAAAACAATGTGGTCATGTCTTGGTTGGTCAATACCATGCACAATGATGTTGAATAGAACGTTGTGTTCTATGACGCTGCTAACAACATCGAATGTTTAAGATGCAGCTTTCCATTTCAGTTTATTCCTAAAGGAAATATGAATCCTGTTCGGCAAAGTCAAATTTTTCAGATACAATGGAATAATTTTGAAATCAAGCCGCTTTTGATAGAGTGCACTTAAAAACAACTTGGGTGGCTTTTAAAGAATTTTAGCCGTCTATGGCTTTGTTATTATGTCATTTTTATGCTACAAAGCTGAAATCTGAATTCTGTGTCAAATCAATTTTTACAGGCTGAGTTTGAGTCAATCTGTCTTGAAACGCAGGTATGACTTTGGCTTTGTATTTATTGTGTTATTTTTTTCTTTGATCTTCTTGTCATCTAGGTCCAAGTTGTGTGGCAATCACGTAACAGAATCCAGTTAGGCTTTCTCATATCAAAGTTATCGTTCTTGGACCCATTCAAGTAGTTTTATAAAAGTACGAGGTGCAAATCCGTGCCTTCATATCAGCATCATCAATATACCATCAATCAATATCAATATGATGCGTTGCTTACAAGCTGCGTACAATGCAGTTCATTCATTAGATTTCATACAGTGCACAAGAGGCCCCGTAGTTTACAGTAATTCCTGGTAAATCCTGATTTACTAAACATAGGCCAGTTCATTGTTACAGACTACTTAGGTATTGTGGATGAATTTGATATCAGTAGTGGTGCTCACAAACTGTTAGGCTCTGGAGTCTGGACAGTTATCTGGACAGTTGAATCATAACACTCTTACAGTATTAGTGTATGGATACAGGCATGCATGCAACCATGTTCAAACTTTGTCATGTTGCTCTCTTATGTAGGTGGGGGCCACTCTTGATGCTGTAGAGGAAATGGTGGAAGAGCAAGAGCTGGATCCTTTGTTCTCAAATAAGTACGTGTTATCTAATTTGGTCAGCAGCATATCTGTGCGTAGTTGGATAAGGTTGATTAGATCAAGTGGTTCGTTAAAGTTTTGAAGTATCATTCTTGATGCGAGATTGTCCTGTTTGAAAGAATCGATGCATTTTAGCCTTCAAAGCAACATCAGTGTAGCTCAACATGGTGATTCGAACACTATGGGGTTTTCCGTAGTTGTTCTCTCATCTGAATCTCTCGACTATTTATGTAGAGTTTTTTCCTTGTTGTTTTTACTCTGGGACTTGTGCCAATAACTTCCTGCTTCCTATATTATTTATTGCCATCACAATCTGTTGATAATTTGAACTCAGTAGAGGTGCTTTGTCACAATTGCAGGAGTAATGTCATGGATGTGGTTGAGGATCTGTCCACTGCGAATAAGAATGAAATCCAGCAGTTGACGCGTATTATAAAATTGGTTAGTTGCTGTATGGCATTATTGATTCTCTAATGCTCATGAAGTTGTATGCTCTAATTGAATAGAAAATGAACGATTTCATGACTATTGACCGGTTGGCGGAACTTTTTTTCTTTCCCCCCAAACATTTTTATCAATTTTTCATCCTGCTTGCTTACCCTCTCAACCTGCGTAAATGGATAAAGTGCTCTCACTTTTGGGTTCCTTTTAACTTTAGCATCTCCCAGTAGCGTGCCATCAGTTCCTAGGAATTCTTTTTCCTGTAGCTTTTTGGGAACGTGAAGCTCAGAAGTGGAGATATTTTCCTGGGGATCATTGTCTTTTGTTTCCTTCTGATACTGTTATTACCTTCCGCCCTAATTTCCAAAAGAGATTTATTTATTTATTGGTAAAGTTGGAAGTGATCAACAAAGTTTCTCCTTCTTGTTGGATGCCTTGGAAAAAAAAAAAAGTGTAATTGAGGTGTGATTCTTTAGTGGCACTGTATGTATGATGAGCCTCCTGCTTAATTGTGCTTTTCAACATGAAACGTTCTATTCTTGTCAGCCTCTACTTGCAGTGAAGTGTTATAAAGGCAACCGCGTATCTTAAGGCTCGCTTTATTCACATCACTGTGTTTTTATAATAAAATGAAAGTGTCGAGGCAGTTGTTTCTAGTGCTGAGCAGACCATATCTCCGACTTGGAACAAAATGAACTCAGCCACGCCATAAAAATACAATCGATCTTTGATTATTTTGGAACTGGCTTATGTCCTAGGTTCTGGTTATGCTGGCCCCGGCAAACACTTGAACCTGTCAGTTACTTGTGTTTTGGCCTCATCACCTGTTGCTCTAATCACTTTTCTATTTTTAGGGAGAGGAACATAATAGTAGGATTCGCACACAGTTGCAACTCCTCAGAGAAGGCAGACAAGCAATGTCTGGTGTATCAGATGCTATTGAGAAGGTATGTGTCGAAACACAAGACCCTGACCATTTGAGCACAAATTCCACAGGAACATGAATCTGTATTGATTGAAGGGAAAAGTCATACACACCGATTCTGGATCCTAACAGGGCCCAATATTTATAGGCATCCGGAAATACAATGAAAGGCTAAGTAAGCCTAAGCCTAAGCCTAAGCCTAAGCGCAGCGAAATACAATGAAAGGCTAAGTAAGCCTAAGCCTAAGCCTAAGCCTAAGCGCAGCGTTTTACTAACATCTACACAGAAAATAAATTATCCTATTTTCTACAGTATGATTGTTTGAGTTACATTGTAAGCCAATCCATTCCTCAAAATCTTAATATTTTCTGCTTCCTTTTTTCTTTGCCTGACTCATGTAGCGGCTCATTCATTTTTTGCATCTATGCTTAAATAGCAGTTCAGGAGCAGGAATTTAACTTATGGAGCCAACCGATGCGAAGAGATTCAAGATATGTAAAACCTCCTTAGTACATCTTCTGTTATATTTACCGAAGTTCTTCTTCTGGGTATCATTTGCCTATGCATTCATGTATATTGTTCCAAAGCTTCTAAAGGCGTTAGTCTTGGAATGTCAAATATTAGCAGAGAAATCCCTTGTTAGCGGTATCATTATTAGGGTCCAGTGCTATGAGTGGTTCGTATTGTAACGAAAAGCAGAGAATCTTTCTGTTAATCATAGTGTCGCTGAGTATTGCCTTTGTGGACCTCAACGCGCGTGACATTGAACAGGTCTCCTTCGTGGTGCCATGATATGATGAGCTTTTTAGTAATTGTGGAAATGCAATTTCATGATTTGCTTTATTGCTTGTTTATATATTGACTCTCAGGGAAACGTGTCGAATCTGACACATGCCGAATATTGCCCACTCTGGTTCAACAGTGCGTAATAGCAATGGCAAGAATGAGGCCAAGTCAATCGATAGCTCAATCTTCATGACATTCCTCTTTAACTGCAACATTAATATGTGGTAAATCATGGCAGGATGGGAACCTGAAGTTCAGTGTGGTATCTTAGAGGTTTCCTCTTCCTCTTTTTACACTGATTACTAGGTCTGTCATTATTACTCAATGTTTTCTTGTTTTTATTGCTTTTCCAAGATGAAAATTTAAGTCCAGTTTTATGGAATTCATTTAGAAATAAAATAGATAGCGATGCATGCCTTTTTCCCCCTTTAATGAAAAGCTAAGTGTCTTTTGTTTGTGGGAAAATTATTGTAGTTTCAAAAAAAAAAATGTAATTATTGAAATATCTCATAACAGGTGAATGATAAGTTCTAATATAAGAAATAACAACAAAGTTTATGTTACTCACTTATCATTAAATTTTTTTAATAATTATATTCTTTTCTTAGGATTTCACTTCCTCTTCGTTTTTTAATCACCCCTTTGCCACACATTACATGACATTCTTTATCTTCTTCGTACGAGAATGAAAGAGGAGCAGTGTTCCAATTATTTGAGGACCATTTTCCTTTCTTTATCTTCACAGCTCATTCCCTCATTGGTCATCACCACGTTAGCTTGTACCCACGCTCACGAGAGGTCAAGAGCTATCCGCATGCTTCATATGAAAAATACGAGTTCTTACACATGCACATGCTTCCAATTTAAAAGGAATAAATATCTTATTTCTTGATAGTTGAGAGACACTCGTGTACTATTCACTATACCACTTCTTTAGGGAGCCCGTTTTAGCCTCCAGTTTATGATGATTCATTAATTCATTACACATCTTTCGTCTTGCTTTTTTTTTTTGGGGGGGGGGGTTGGGGGTGGATAGAAAAAAAAAAAAAGAACTTACGATAAGGGAAAGGGAATTGTAGTTATTACACCCATTAATTGATACCTGAAGTGTTATGTGCATGAACACAAATTATATGATATTTTATAATTTATATTAATGTAAAACTTATAATAAACAATTATTATTCATTTGTCCTGAACAGTTAGCTGATTCCTTGGCAAAAAGGGTCTATCTAGTTCTGAAATTTTGACCTCTTGCCCGCAGCAGTTGAGAACTTTGGTGACCAATGGCTGTTTTGTGTGTTTGGCTTAGCCCTCTTTTGTAACCAAAAGAAAAAAAACAGATTTTGTGTAATTGACGTGTAATTCAGAAATAATTTGTTAAAATACAAATGTATGAATACATAGGTAATCAAATCACAGATTTTTCTCTTTCATGTAAGGAAGCATGGGTACTAAATTTGGCCATTACAGATTGACCTTTACACTTTTCAAAAAAAAAAAAAAAACTCGAATATGTAACGAAATATTAACAAATACTATCTCCGCTCTTAATTATAAAAACCAGTTGATTAATTTAAAAAGATTAAGAAAGTAAGTTGAGTTAATTATTTGTCCTAAATAGGTGTTGTCTTTCCTAAAATATCCTTACTAATCAAGTGTATTGACTAGAACTATAATTATTAAAAGGACTATCTTAGAAAAAATTAAGTAAATATAAGAGACAAAGTAGATTAGGGTTTTATATTTAGGATCAAAATAAAAGTCAAACAGGATCTTATATTACAGAGCGGATGTAGTATAATAATGGAGGGGATCTGAAAGAATATTTAACTGGGAACGTAGTTTAAATTAATGCGATACTTTTCTTCCATTCAAATAATTATATGTTCAACTCGGTGTAATTCATGCTAGATTTTATTTTGGAAAAACTTGAAAGTATTTAAGGGCTCCATAGTGATCCGTACTGTATGAATGATCTCCTTTTTTTACCAAGCAGTAATCTAAAATGAGAGCTGGTTGGCTTAATTGACACGTACCATCTCTTTAAATTTTGCTTAAGCATGAGTCGGCTTCCCATAAGTATGTGGGTCCGTGAGCTTCTTTCATTGGGTGATTGGAATTAAAAAAAAAAAGAATATTTAAAAAAATTGACTAAATAAATTGTCTCATATATAAATTCTGTCACAAAAGCTAACAGTGACAACAAATAGTCAAAAACAAAATACTCCTCCGGTCCTTATTATAAGACCCCATTTGACTTTTTATTTAGTCCTAATTATAAGACCCAAATCCATTTTATCCTTCTAATTTATGCATTTGTTTTCAAGATAATCCTTCTAATAATGATAGTTTTAGCCAATATACTTAATTAGCAAGGATTTTTAGGAATGACAACACTTATTTATTATAAATAACCAACTTAACTTACTTCCTTAATCTCCTCAAATAAGTCAATTGGGTCTTATAATTAGGACCGGAGGAGTAGAAAAGTAGACTTACATACCTTTCATGTATTTTCTAAACTCACAAAATTCCATTAAGATAAAACATGCATTATTTATTCACATATCCAAAATATACATCAAACACATGGGTCCACAATTTAATTACCAGATAAGGTGAAAAAAATTAATTAAGAATGTATAAGTTTAGTCAAACCAAAATGAAGCATACTTGTCATGGACTTAAATATATAGGTTGGACAGACGTATGAGAAACCAAGCCATTAATACACGGCAACACAAAATAACACAAAATAACACAAGGGAGAGAGAGACACGTAACAGCTTCATTTTGACGAGGACGATGTTAATCACTTCAATGTCCTGTAGATTATATTGAAGGATAGAGTTCCAAATTACCAATTGCTTTTATATATATATATATATATATATATTATATTGCATGCAACATTTAAAAATGTTCAGATTCAAACTTCTTTATTGACTTGTAAAATAATATAAGAATATGATCAATGAGGATGAGCTTCGAAAATAGGATTATGTCTGCTATTGGGAAAATAAATTATATTACTCCTCCGGTCCTAAATATAAAATCTTTATACACACTAATATAAAGATTTTATATTTATGACGGGAGAAGTATTTAAAATTTGTAGATAATGTGATTTGCTTTGAATTTTACACTTGATGTAGCCCACAGGATTCATCATCCCTCTTTAAGACACGTTCATTAGAGAGACTGACTCAGAAAAGACAATAAATACAAAGAAAAAAAAAAGTAAATATGACAAATTTGAATAGTCAATTATAGTCCGAAGTGCTGGATTGCTTGAAAATGATGGTAGACCTTGACACCAGTGAGCTTTTCCAAAAGTTTTTTTTTAAAAAAAAAAAATCTCGCGAACTAGCACAAGGGACATGAAGGAAAATAAAAATTTTAATGATTTAAAAAATTAAAAAAATAGAAAAATAGGGTTATAAAATTTTAATAAAGAGATTATGCAATATATAAAAGTCATAAAAATTAATTGCAAAATTTTAACCCTAGTTCAATTTTTTAAATCGAACTTATTAAAAAAAATGTCTTTCTGTTTTCTTCATTTTCCTCTTACCAAATAGATATGAAACTCGACATCCCTTATTTGAGCGGGCATAGTCTTTTCTAATAGGACAGACACATTTTGGTAAAATTTACATAGAATTTGTCAATTTAGGTTGGCATGACGAATAAGACTTCTTATCTCTAAAATGAATGGTTGAGGGTTTAACTTATAGTATCTGTATATGGATATGGTTAGAAGAAGTATATCTTTACTCTCGATATCTCGATGGAAATTAATATTATTGTCAACAAAGTTATTCATTATCTGCATTAACAATTTTAAATTTCATATAGAATTAAAAAAGGCAAGGATGACACACAGTAAAAATATATGCAACAATTGTTATTTATTTTTTCATTCAATTCAATTTTTTTTCCATTAAAAATTTTACAAGTCAATTTTCCTAGACTTCATGGGTCCCATATACAGTTGACTTTGGTGGATTGTATGGTAAAGAGCCACTCTAGGGTATCTCTTATCCCCAAAGGAGATTTAATGAGTGCTTCGTAATTTTGGCCAAAAAGTTGGAAACCAGTTGGGAGATAATCATTTCTTGGGACACAATCTGATGGGCAATCCATTGTGGGGAAGACAAATGGCCCATACTGAACCCCATTTTGTACTCCCCTCCATGGACCACCTGCAACAAATGTTCAAACACACATATGAATATATAAAGAGAAAATATTGAATTTGTATTTATTGCAAAATTGAGCATCATTGGTTGTGATAAAGTGGGAAGTTGAGAAACCTGTAGTTGGTGGTTAAGTGGTGAAAAGCACCAAAATCTCCAACTTAGCAAGTTCATTCCCCGGACATGCATGGATCCCACTCCCAAAGGGCAAATAAGTATTGGGTTTTGGAGCTACCTATAAAATTAAATTAAAAAGGGAACTGAGTCGTTGGTCCAGTAGGTGTGTGTACATATATAGTGGCAACAAAAAATAAAGCTCAGGTTTGTGAATTAATACCTCAAACTGGAAGGATCAAACTTGTCTGGTTCTTTGAAGTAGTTTGAACTGTGGTGCATGTTTTCTGAAGAGTGGCAGACTTTCCAGCCTTTGGGGATCAATGGCCTGATGATATTTAATTTGAGATTGATTTTGTTGGATAAAAGAAGAGCATAAAATACTTTATGTTAGGCTGTTGAATAGTATGGTTACACTGACCTTCGTATTCAACATCTTGACAGCTTCTCTGAAAGTGAAGGACAAATGGTGGCATTCTGAGAGTCTCTTGGATAACCCTTGAAGTTATCGTCATCTTCTTTTGTATCTTCCCACTTCAAACCATCCGCTTTTCCCCCTTTCTTCCTTCCCTTTCACTATCCACTCTTGCTCCTCCTATAATGTCACCCAAAAATAATATATGATGAAAAAGAGAGATTATACATCTAAAATAATTATTGGGTTGGTTTTGGTAAATTTTATGTCTTTCTTACAACTAATATCACAAAAAAAAAATATGTATTTTAAAAAATCTCTTTCAATAACATTCGACTTTTTAAATTTTACAAAATCTTTTAATCTTTAAATTTTTTTCATTAAAGAAAACCCATGACCTACCATTTTATATAGGGCACATCCCTGCCATTATGCCACACTCGCTTAATGTCAGCATTTGATCTTACACTTTCAAAAAAGCATCAACATTTTATCAAAAAAAAAGAAAAAAGAATATCAACAGCTGCAAGAGACACTCACGGTGACTGCTTGGAGGCGGAGGGATTCTCAGCGAGGTACTTGACAATCCACTTCAGCACACTCGCTGTCGTGTCGAGCTGCGAAGATGACGCCGATGACGTTATCTGCTATCTGTTCGTCGGTGAGCT